GGTCTCTTAGAGGACGGGTCTCAGACATGACCGGTCTCTTAGAGGACGGGTCTCAGAGACGACAGGTCTCAGAGAGGACGAGTTTAAGACTATCCATCCATCCATCATCTTTACCCGCTTCTTCCTTTTTGGTTCGCGGGGGTCACTGTTGCCCTTGTCCAGCTATCACTGTGCGAGAGGCGGGGGACATCCTGGACAGGTCTCCAGTCCATCACAGGGACACATAGAGACAAAGAACCATTCAGTCTCTCTCTCTCACCTAGGTGTGATGATTTCGAGGCTGGAGAGTGGAGACTGGGGGGGAGTGGTGACACAGAGGTTAGAGCAGGTGGGCCTGAGATCGGAAGATCGCCAGTTCACGCCCCGGTACCAACAACATCAAAAATGTGGGTGGGGTAGGTGAAGCACCCACACTTGCCCCCACCCTCATTCGCTCCACTCTGGGCCCATGAGCAAGGCCCTTAACCCCCCATCTGCTCCCTAAACAGGTCTCTCTTGAAAATGAGTTCTCATGGCTCAATGAGACTAACTGGATAAATAAAGGCTAAATGAAAAGAAAAGAAAGAAAAATGACCCATTGGTGCAGGCAAACAGGCAGGACTCATGGAATATAAAATAAATAATTTATTATTTACAAAGTAAAGGGGCAGACGAGGCAGCAGACTTACATAAATCATGGGACAGGACGCAGGACACGAGGACCAGACAATGAAGGAGGCAGACAAACAGACTTAAATACAGTGACAAGACTAAACACCGAACACCTGTGACACGTCACAGGTGCAGACATCAGAGAGGAGCAGACAAATATAAACTAGAGGGAGACAGAGACCAGGGAAAACTACTGCACAAGGGATAATTTAGAGTTACCAGTCAGTCTAACATGCATGTTTTTAGTCTGTGGGAGGAAACTGGAGTACCTGGAGAAAACCCACGCAGCACAGAGAGAACATGCAAACTCCACCCAGAAAGTCCCCCGGACCGGGATTTGGCCCAGGGACCTGCTCGCCGAGAGGCAGCAGCTCTACCAGTTGTGCCACTGTGCTACCTGCTTAAGACTTTCCTTTTTGATAAATCCTATAGTTAGGGTTGGCTTGGGTTTCCTGAGCAATCCCTTAGTACAGCTGCTATAGGCTTAGACTGCTGGAGGAAAAACTGACCACATGTCCTCTCTCTACTGTTGTCGTTACTTGATCTCCTCTTCCTTTTTGTAATGATTTCTATCTTAACATGTTTTTTTAGATTTCCTCCTATAGAAGGTTCACCTGGACTAGAGAAAGTACACCTGGGGACTATAGAAAGTTCACCTGAACTATAGAAAGTACATCTAGACTATAGAAAGTACACCTGGACTATAGAAAGTACATCTGGACTATAGAAAGTTCACCTGGACTATAGAAAGTTCATCTGGACTATAGAAAGTACATCTGGACTATAGAAAGTTCACCTGGACT